AAATAGTTTAATTTGTTTATTATTCAGCCAAAGGCGCACCAACGATTTACGCAGTTTATTTTCCGATCAAAGTTCATTCGTTCACAGTTAGAATTATACCGTTGAAACCATTAACTCGTCTAACCGATAAGGAATATTTTATGTACTCATTAATAAATATTTACTTCCGATATTTGTATCCGTTTATACCATTGAGATATTAGATAGTATTAACCGATTACTTATGTACTCATTTATAAATGTTTTCTTTTTACACGCTCTATTGAATAAATATTTATTTTTCTTTAAATTATTTTTGTTAATTTGGAGTCTCCCGACAAACCACACGAACGAATTCTGGCAAACCGACGAGTTATTCCGCGTCGTAAGAATCCGCTTTGCTAACTACGCACCGTCGTAATTCCGCATCGAAAAATCCGCATACCGTCGAAATTCCGCATCATTACGCACCGCCCGTGAGGCGTGAAAATACGCACCGTTACAAGTTAATAGGGCTGGTCAATTAAAATTGGACACCCTGTATAGTTCAGTGGTGATACACAATCAATACTAGTGAGCTATATAACATACTAGAGTGAGACTTTTCTATAAAAACCAATGTGTAGTTCACGGTCCAAGAATAGTAATAATAGGGGGAACACGTCTGTCCTTTTTCTACATTTACTATTGTGAATAAGGGGAATATTGAAAACAAAAATCGTCATGAGATAGACGTTCCTGTCCAATATAGCTCTCTCTCTCTTCCACAGTGAACTACACTCCTGTTAGACACCCTGCAGTATGTATAGCTCACTGATCAATACCCAATACTGGTTAATATTTGCAGTGATTTGCAGTGAATATTGGAACTTCGGAATGTAGCCCACTGTCAGATCAACTTGACTGCAATCTTAAAGCAACAAGACAAATTAAATCGAAAAATACTTACAAAATGTTTTCTAACTTCTTTATTTTGTTGAAGCTCCTCTTCAAATTTAAAAAAATCTTCAACAGTCGCCAAGGGTAAGGTAGGTAATAATTGTGGTTTACATTCATTATTTGTAGCATACTCAGCATCCTTATCAAGTAGATGTATGATGTAGTCTAATTTTTTCATAATTGTTTTTTGTGTTGTACGACATGCTTCTATATAAAATAGAAGATAAAAATATTAGTATATTTTACAATATATCTTTAAGAATTTTATTTTTAACAGAATTACAAAGAATACTATTTTAAACAAGATTTCCAAAAATTAAAAAATGTACAACATAAATTATGCACTAGTATTTTTATATTGCAATATATAAATAATTAAAGTGACTAGTGAATAACACAATACATACCGCAACAAGTATGGCATTTATCACGTTGTGTTTCATTTACATTACTGACGTCATTAACATTATTGATGTCATTAACATTATTGACACCATTGACATCATTGATATTATTAACATCACTGATATTATTAACATTGACATCATTAATATCTAAAACGTCATGGACGTCATTGACATTATTAATATCTAAAATATGATATTCAATTATTTTTAGTCTTTGAATAGTTCGTTTTATTAATATATTTTTATACGAGGTGTTCCGTAATTTATAATCATTTTGTAAATCAAAATATTATAACGTGAAATTTCTCCAAAAACAAAATAAAAAAGTTCTTTATGATTTTTCAATCCAAGCAACAGTTTTTGAAATATAAGTGTTTAAAATTGGTCAATAAAGCTCTATGGTTAAACGATTGCTTATCCGTGAGTTATTAATCTGCCATACGCGCAACTTAGGGAACAAATGACTGTTTAATTATACAGTCCGATTGGCCAGTTTTAAATTTTTATGTTTTAAAAACTATTACTCGGATTGAAAAATTGTAAAGAACTTTTTTACTTCGTTTTTTGAGAACTTTCATGTTCTAATATTTTGATTCGCAAATTACGAGACACTTTGTATATATAATGTTATAAATGGTTAACAAAGACATTGTATATACCGTCAAACTCTACCTCCTTGCTAGTTGAAGGAAGCCATATCACATTGTTGATATTTTCTGTAATATATTTCATATTTGGAAATGTAAATTTATTAAATTTTGTGTTTATTTATATTATATTATAAAATATTAGAGTTAGCTGTTTTTAATCATTTTTTTTAACACGTTATTTATTATTACAAATATATAAATTACATAATGTATAATGTAAATATTAACAAAAATAAATTATACATACCATTTTGTTTCTCAATATGATTACTCAATTTATTGAATGCTGGTATGTAAGTAGAAGATGATGCCACATCGATACTTTCTGGTAAATGTTCTATAAAAAGAACAAATAAAAGAAAGATTATTTAAAATACAGATAATAAAAATCTAACTATAGATAAAAGTTTTGTAAAGAGCATTTTTCACATTAAATTAATTGCTATCCTTTAATATAGTGAATATATTTTGATGTTTAAAATATTATTTTTTTATCATTTTAAATAATATATTATCATTTATTATTTCAAGTTAAATAAGTCTTTATAATTTATGAAAAAAAATACGTACTTTCCAGTTTTATATTATTGGTGTCACTGGACAATTCACTGTGACTTTCTTCCCGTAGAATATTCAATAACGCCATTAAAGATTTTTGAGTGACGTTACAATCCGTAGCCCAATTGTGTAATCGATGTTGTAAAGTATCTTGTTTCTTTGTATTGTTATATGTTATATAAAATTCTTCGATACATTCAACATTTTCTGCTTTTTCTGTATCTGGCGTGTATGTGGGCTCAACTTTGATTCTACATGTTTCTATTATATTTAAATTTTGTTCTTTTGGCATACATTTTGTATTATAATTATGCTCATCACTATTCTGCTTTGCAAGCAACAAACATTGATTTTGTTGCCTAGGAGATAAATCTTTAAATTTTGTTACCTTTGGCATTTTATAAGTTTTTTTATTTCTTTATACACATGCAAAAGTATTCTGCAAAAATTAATTAAATATTTCATAATATTTATCATATATAATATTAATGTTAGATAATTTCAGCTGCTTTACAAAAACAATACTGCTTTCAAAAACAATACTAAAAATATAAAAATAAAATACAAAATTTACCTAAATTAATAAACAATTTTTTTATTGCATTATAATACAAAAAACATTATTATAAAAATAACAAATAAAGAAATTATTTACTTGTTTAAAAAAACAAATGCATCAATTTGTAACAAAAGTAGGATCCTATTAATAAAGCATAGTGTGTGTTGATTTATTAAATTAGAAAAAAGTTATACTTGAATAAATATCTTTTTCTATGTACAGATATCAGATTCAGAATTATTTTGAAATAAAAAAATGGCAAGTATACAATAGAAAGTATAAAATAAAAAGTGGCAATATATATAAAAAATATTTTTTTTAATTATATGAAATATATATAACTTGTGTTCTTTGTTTAATATTTGTATCTTTATACAAAGGAAGTAATTTCATGTCTTTTGAAAATAACTTTAAAAATATGCATAAAATGAGAAGTATACAATAGAATTGCACAAAAGAATTTTTAAACAAAAATTGTAAATTGATTGCAAGTTGATAATTGATGTATTGTTTGATTTCCAGAAGAAAAAAAAAATGGTGTAATTTTTTCAGAATGCATTCGTCAAACAGCTAAAAAGAAAAAAGAAGCCTAAGAGATTCTCTATAAACTTTAAGCAGAAGAGGACTTCACTACCCAGATGGCAAAAAGATAAATAGAAGTTTATAGAGAATTTATTTTAAAGAATATATACAGAATTAGAAAAATAAATATCTGAAGAATTCTAAAAGAATTAACTACAATCAGTTCGTCTTGAAATATTCTCCAAAAATTCATTATGATAAATACTTTGCGACTCAGTATTTTGAATACTTCGAGAATTCATGAGGAATTAAAAGTATTTTATTTGTTTTAATTCCGACCAGAGCTGCTAGATTCGTTTATATACATGTGATGCGCAAAACGTTCTGCGCATCTTCCGACCCATCTCATGTAGTGTCACACTGTGTGCTACCAGGATTAAGTGCAATATTTTTTTCTGCATAAACAAACGATATATGTATTATAAAAGGCAAAAAGGCGTTATATTATAAAAATCTACGGACAATTTATTGAATGGTAAGTACAGTTGAATTGGATTCATTTATTATATATTTCTAATAATTGTTACTAATATATCTATTAAACATATCGACTAACAATGACATTATATCAATATTATAATTCACCATTCAACAATGTAATTGTTATACAATATGTTATAGTTCACTTATATTGTTGAGTGATGTTGAGTGAAATTATAATATTGGTGTAATTTTACTATTAGTTGGTGTTTACTGAGTATTTTGTAATCCTTTATCTATTTTAAAACTATTTCTCTTGAATTCTTAAAGTATACATATCTATTGGTGTAGAATAATACTATATGAATACTCCAAGAAATTTTCAAGAATTCCAATTATGGTGCATGTAACTTTTTGAATCATTCTTATAGTTTTCTTCTATGAATAAAGAATTACAATTCAGGAAAGAAGAAAACTTGAAGAATACTTTGCGAATTCACTGTGCTATCTGGGTATCTACACAACCCAGCCTTTTATCAAATAATTCTGTACAACATCAAGGAAGAGAAAATAATGATACTCCAGAAATTTACCAAGGAAAAGACCTTTTCTCAATTAACATTTTATATCAAGATCCAAAAGATATGGTTAATTTATAAAAAAGTGACTTTAACATACTAATGTTAATTTACTTAAATTTCATATAAAAAGTTTAAATAAATATTGCCATAGTTACACATGTGCAAGTTGGCATCGATGCAATCATACAGAAAGCACTATTAATAAATATAGATGCAAAGATAATTTTTTGTTTGGATTTATCAAATATTTTCTATAATGAAACATTACCTTAATTTAGAAGAAATGTTCTATACTCTCTGTTTAACGTTTTTTCAGAACGTTTCTTTATATATTCCAGAATACACTTTAGTACACAATCACAAATATTCCATGTAAAAACCATGTACAATAGTTCCTGAAGATTTCTGAAAAAAATATACACCAATAAGATTAAATTTTTAACTATATATATACATTCTTTACATTTTTCGGAAGTGTAAATATTTATATACTTTAAAAATTTATTTTATTAACTTACTCAAATAGCACGCTTGTCTTAAAGATATCTGAAAGACATTTAGAACTACTTTAACGTTAATCGACGGTTTCAATTTGTTAATACCCAAACAAATTGCAAATCTCAAAGATGTCCAAAATACGTCATTCTTTTTAACGTCTTTTGGATGTTTTTCAGATGTCTTTGAGATTTGCGTTGCTAGGTAGAATTGCTACATGAAGAATAAAATATAGTCATTAAAGGTAACAAAAATTTGAATTTTTTTCTTTTTAAATGACAATGTTTTATTTATATTGGCAATTTTATCGACAAGTTGGAACCTTCGGTTAAAGTTAAACTTGGTAACTGACGTCGGGAAAAGTGGCCCTTGTCGTAAGTCTATAAAAAATGACATCTTATTTATTGTGACCACACCGAACCCTACACGCGCTATGTTCGCTATGTTCGCTATGTTCACTATTTTTTTTAGCCACGCACAAAGAAAACATGGCATATATAGCGTAGCACTCTGTGTAGCCGCTTACGTTGTCAATAAAATAAGCCATTTTTCGTGCGCATAGCGAACATAACGAACATAGCGTGCATAGTGCTCTGTGTGACTGCAACATTAGTCTTTCAGATGTTTTTAAGCATGCGTGCTATCTGGATAGTTTTATTTGAAATAATAAAAAAATGAGTATATTTACCAAAACATAAAAAATTGATATAAATTTTAAAGTTGGAATACGTTTTTGTCTAAGAACTATTTTGCACTGACTAAGAAATTTCACTGATTACGAAATTTTCGTTTGGCAGCTCTCGTCATTGAATAATAAATAATGCAAAGTGCAATTGTAACAAAGGGCAACTGTAACAAATGCTGCTTGACGCCACTAAAGATTTCACCAATCACAAGCTTGTAAAATATAACTCAGCATACTCTGTAAATTTACAGATCGCTGTCAAATGTAACAAATTGGCATTTGTTTTAAGGATCGATAAGAGTGAGGCCCGTGTTCCAACCATAGATGTAGTAAGTATAGACTGCTCATTCCCTATCTCCATAGATGTAATAAGTATAGACTGCTCATGACGTTTGCAGAGTGACGAGAGTTTAGAAAGAGTAAGAAGAATTTGAATATAATCTTTTTCTCTGTCACACATAAGAACATATATGTAATACTCCTATATTGCTGATTGAGCTTGAGAGTTTAGGAAAACATTACTGCGGATGATATTCGTCTCTCACTCTAGAGTAGACTATTGCTGGATTTAGGGTGAAATCAGATGATACGGAAAAGAGCTGCGGAACGGAGAGTGCGTCATTGAGACAGCCAATCACAGCTATTCCGTACGATTGTATTCCGCAAGTCTTGTTCCCTCAGTTCACATGATACGGAATAAGGAATCCAATAACGCATCTGCGAAAAATAAAATTTAAGAAAACAAACATTTTTATAATTGTAGCGCTTTTAAAATAACATATAATGTTATAAATTATGAAAAAGTTTATCTACATACAGGGTGATTCAAAATAACCGTATGTCCTCAAAGGGGCATATTCCTGAGCGTATTCTGAGACAACTTTTCCTTTGGCAAAAGTTTGTGCAGAGCTTAATTTTCAAGTTATAAAAGAAAATAGTTAGTGTATCGTGAGTCGAGTACAAGAAACAAGCAGGGGCGTTGCAACTCACCGTTACAAGCGAGTGTTTACGTGAGGCGCCTGCTACAATCAGCTGACACTCACGATACACAAATACGTATACGCATCTCTCTTTCTCTCTTTCTTTCTCTCTCTCTCTCGCTCTCGCGATGAGACAGATCCATATCGAGTAAAAGTTTTTCCACTTTCTCTGGTTCACGTTTCACATTTCAAAACATAACACATTCACATACTCTGTTCACCCACTTCATCGATAAAACGAGGAATTTATTTAATGATCACTACTAATCACTCGGTGCGTGAAAATTATTCGAAAAAAGAAACACGTGTTTTTCGAGTAATTGTGTATCGTGAGTGTTAGCTGATTGTAGCAGGCGCCTCACGTAAACACCCGTGTGTAGCGATGAGTTGCGACGCCCCTGCTTGTTTCTTGTACTCAACTCACGATACGCTAATTATTTTCTTTTATAATTTGAAAATTAAGCTTTGCACAAACTTTTGCCAAAGGAAAAGTTGTCTCAGAATACGCTCAAAAATATGTCCCTTTAAGGACATACGGTTATTTTGAATTATCCTGTATAGTAATTTAATGATAAATAAAAATTTTTAAATTAAAGAAAACATAACCTTTAAAACTGTTTTTTTTTATTTTAAAATCTTTATTTATCATTAAATTACTATACGCAGATAAACTTTTTCATAATTTATAACATTATATGTTATTTTAAAAGCACTACAATTATAAAAATGTTTGTTTTCTTAAATTTTATTTTTTGCAGATACGTCATTGGATTTCTTATTCCGTATCATGTAAACTGAGGGAACAAAGCTTGCGGAATACAATCGTACAGAATAGCTGTCCTTGATTGGTGCAAGTATTAACTGAACATTTTGGAGTTTTCAGTGAGATTTCTTGTATAGATTTTTTAATAAAGTTAAATTATCATTTAATCATGGACAGTGAATTAAATATGGTCACAGAATCCATAGCATAGTTATTAAAGGTAAATTTAAGAACTCCTATGTTAAATTATAAAACAAAAAAAATAAGATTAACTTTGCTAAAATTATTGGCATTACACACGGTCTTATCAGAGCATAAAAAATCTAAAAGGAGTATATGAGTAAGACCCATTTATACTGTTGAGCAGCGAATGCTACAAGGCGATAGCGACAATTTAATCAAGCTGCTTGAAACAAGTGATCCTGCTTTGTATTTTAATTATTTAAGAATGGATGTAAGCACCTTTTATTTCTTCTGTCATAACCAAATTGTTTGAATACGCCATTATTGATTATTTAATAACAAAAATATTTACATAAGCATTTGAATTAACGACTCTAATGACGCACTTTTTACTCCGCAGTAGTTCTGCAGCCCAGTTCCGTACAGAACTACTGCAGAACATGCGGAATAGCTGTGATTGGCTGTCTCAATGACGCACTCTCCGTTCCACAGCTCTTTTCCGTATCATCTGATTTCACCCTTACACTGGATCTGATTTCCGACGTACGATGTCCGATATCCAATAAGAAAAATTGTTTTATATAAAACAAATTCTCCTATTGGATATTGGACATCGTACGTCGGAAATCAGACCCAGTGTGACTCCAACATATCTGTGCATTGGCCTAGTTTACATCGTTAAAACGTTAGTACGCGTATTAAGTTTGGTGCGCACCAATGCTTTAGTACGGGTGTGTTTACATCGGACGTACTAAGGGAAAAATATAATACGAATTTAATTCATATCGATTGCCTTCTAGTGGTAGTACTTGGAATTACAATTCGTTTAAGGTCATATTCTTGCTTTGTAAGTGATAAGTGGAGTGTATTATTTATTTGATATAAAACGAGAAATAATGAATAATAATAGTATGCAAAAGTATATGACCACATTTTATATATATTTATATATTTTATATAAATATATATAAAATGTGGTCATATACTTTTGCATACTATT